AGAGATTGCAACCGTACCTTATTAACCTTCTCATTTCCAATATGACACTGTTCCAAAATCGTCCAGGCCTCCTTGGAAGTCTTCGCAGCAGATATCACTAGTGGAAAAAAGACATTTAATATGGGGTAAAATCGACTTTTAATGTCGGTTGTGAACCGACATAGATACAGGCGACATAGAAAGTCTGAAACATTTCCTATCGGGTGTTTGTACCCCATATTGAAAATATTTTATATCGGTTATGAGACAACCGTTATAGAAAGTAGATTTTTTTAAAAAAATAAATAAATAAATAAATAAATAAATAGCTTTCTACATTGTCAACTTCTCTATAATTTTATTCCATACATGTAAACCTGCAGAAATTACAAACACTTCATTCAAAAATTATAATTACAAGCTTCATTCAAAATATTATAATTACAAACACTTGATTCAAATATATGATAATTACAATTACTTAACTCAAACGGAGTAGTATCTAACCCGCTTTTTAATACAACAGAAATTACAAACCAAATTAGTTAAAAATCTACGGGCCTCTAACCTATTAACATCCTCCCAAAGAATTTACTTGATCTAATTAGACATTGCCTCAAGTCTGGAAAGCATCTTTGGAGCTCCAGCTGCAAAACATATTTGCTTTATTGAAACCTCAAGCCTCAGACGCCAATTAAAAATTCGAATCTCTTTCTTCCATGTCAAATAGACTACATCAATGAAATTTATACCCTGCAACAGAAGAATTTTATAAGCAACAAGCAAGAGAATTACCTGTCCAAAAACTAGGAGAACCTGCATACATGAAATAGTCAGAAAGTTGATAATATTTGAAAATGTAAAAAAGTTACTAAAATGTCAATGGAGCGGTGCATAATGAATATGCATATATACGGAGTGATGTCCTTACATGTAGACATGCATATACATCCAACTCGTGTCTCAAAAGTGTAAATTGACCATTTCCATGCTAGAGATTGTTTAGAGATCATAAATAGTAATGAAGTAATCTTTTTAAAGAGTGTTGCTATATAATGAAAAAGAATTATAGAAGAGTAAAATTGAAAGAAAAATTCCCTCTATATTAATAATATGTACTTTCACACTTGCAGGCAATTGAATAAGATGAATAGACACACACATTCAGTTTTTAGTCAACCAGTTATTGTTTTCATAAGAAATCGGGAAATAATATGTTTTGTCTTCTAACACACTCCAAAACATATATATGGAAAATCTAACACGCAATCGAAGTACCCTGAAACGTCAAATTCATTACACAAGGAAAATGATGATACCTCACTAGGACCAAATGTTCTTTCTTCTCCAGCAAAACTTTCAATAGAATGGAGCAGAACCAGGTTTTGCATTCTTGTATAAAAGAATAAAATATAGAAATTAAACCTGTTTCAGATTAGAAAGGAAAGGTTACAAGATTATTAGACAATAGTGCAGATTAACTGGTTTTTTTTTCTGGAGTGCTAAAAGAATTATTTTTTGAAGCAACTTTCATAATTAGAAAATCTCAATAATGCTTTCACATTTAATAGACATTGCAAAGTGAAAAAAATTAAAATTTCCATGCTTTATCCAACATTCTAAACATACACAACAACTAAACCCAAAGTGAAAACAAGTGTTTTTAAAATCTTAACAGAACTTTATTATACTCCGTATAAGTTTATCTAGACACTTGATAGATTAACTTTCAGTCTATCAATCGTATTTGAATCCAAACCAAATACTAATTCAAGATAAATTGCTCTGGAAAATATATAATGTGAACTACAACATGGTATAATAGTGTAGAGTAGACAGAGGGGGGTTATATATGCATACTCTAAAAAAAGACAAAAAGAAGACTAAAAAGAGAGCCAACCAGTGTAGATGTGAACTCTGACGGCGATGAAGAGAATAGTGACGAGGCAGAAGAAGATAACTATGATGACCAATTGGAAATCGCACTAGTCTGCATATTCTCAAACTGAATCCCTCGGACGAACTTCTCCGGAATCTGGAAGAACAAACCCAGTGTGAAGAGCACCACTGCTATCACCATCGGCCCCCTATTCACCATCTCGTTCTCCGGCGATTCGATTATTCAATCTCTTTGCTCCAATCCAGCTTCAATTCACACAGCCGCCGGTACATAGGTGAAAGGGCATTAATTATGAAATATTTAGCAAAACCACGTACAATAATTGAACCCTAAATGACTAAGTATATACTCAAAACGTAATTTTACCTATGGTGGATGAGAGGTGGCCTGGTTGGCGTTGATAGAGGGGAACAGGAAGCAACGGAACATCAATGATTGTCGAGGTAGAAAGGGTGATTGGCAGTGGAGGAAGTCGGAGCTTCGTGCGGCGCCCTCGATCGAAGTGGGATTCGTTTTGACCTAGATGCTCTGTGTCTCTCATATACGGAGTATTTTGTCTGCAAATAAAATCCTAAAATCATTCCACAAGGGTTGAATACGAGCTCGACGTAGAAATGTATTATTAAGATTTATAAAAAAGACCCCGTCCCTAGCTTAGTTTTACGAAAATTAGTAAAATTACCCCGTTCCGGTATATTATGTCGGCTAAATGAAGAGCCGTTATTGATTCAAGTTTATTTTTACAAAACTTACCCGTTGAACTAGCACACATATTTTCATTAATTATAAATACGACCCCGCATTGACATACAACAACGGTTCTAAAACAACCCATACGAAATCTTAGTTATAAAAGGCATATTTTGCACTAGTGATATCTTCTGAAAGTGAGCTTCATCCACAGATTGATGAAGAATGAAGAGTGCTTTGCTATCCTTCTTGTAAGCCTCGCGGAACGATCGCCTCTCAGTCTCATTGGGATTCTCGCCAAGTGCAGCGTATCCATCCTCAATCACCTCAATTACATCTTGGAATCCAATGATCACTTGCATTTGAATCTCCCACTTATCCCAATTCTTCGCATCAAGAATTGGTAGGTTGCCAAAGAAATATCCGGACGAATTTGACATCGCAACTCCTTCGTCTAAGGGTTCACCAGATCGTTGAATCGAAGCAATTACACAGGTGCCGAGGAACGTGGAGCTCTGATACTAGTTGATAGAACACTGGTAGTTAGAATGCTAACTAACTCTCTGATAAGGAGGAAGAGGGAAAATAATTTTATTCAGTATTGAACTCCACACATACATCATATGTGTACCACCCTTTATATGGGAGTAGTCACGTGCACTATACTCACTACACCTACACACACAATATTAAAAGCACATTTGAATTACACATTTTATCAGAATAGGCGGGTGGTAGCAAACTTATAGCATATGTGCGGCAGAATGTGAAGGGTGAGGCCGAAGATGCGAGAGTGCAAACGAGATGCGACACTATGGTGACGATGAACAAGCGACAACTCCATTTAGAAGATTTAGAAAATTAGAAGTGGACGAAGAGAAGACGGTAGATTGATATGGTTGATCGAAAGTATTTGACAAAAGAGAGCTGATGTTTCGTATAATCATGGGTGTTCAAGTCCATTCAATTAATTTAAGGAGTGTTTGCAGTTGATTAAAAAAGCACTTTTCAGCTTTTGGCTTAAAAAAGTTAAAAAGAGTGTTTTTAAATGACAGCTTCTGCTTAAATTAATCACTTAAAAGCTAAAAGCTGGAAGCAGGTGGAAGGGTGCTTTAAACTGCTTTTCACTTTTTCTATTACACAAAAAGTACTTATTTTACCAAACACTACCAACTTTTACTTTTTCAGAATCACTTTTTCCTCAAACACTATCAACTTTTACTATTAATCACTTTTCCCCAAATCACTTTTTTAAAGTTGAAGCAATTGCAAACACTCCCTTAGTCTTTTTTTGTCTAGTTACATATCTGATCCTTTTTATTTTCCTGTCTATGTTTGTCATTCTCTCTACATCTAAACTTATAAAATCAACAATTTCTTAAAAATGTGTCACTACCTTCTCATGTAGAGTACACCCCAAGTATATATTCAACTATGTTGATAAAATATAAGTAGCATGGAAACGGGAAATAGGAAATGGGAAACGCGAGAAACATGATTTCTAGAAAACATAGGATACAAAACGTGGGGGAAACGCGTAAATATTAAAAAAATACAAGGATATATTTGTATTTATTTTTTCACATATGTACACAATTTTTTTCATTTATATATGCACATGAAATTTTCATATAATTAATTTGCTTAATAACCCAATAGTAAAAACATTCTAAATGTTCAAATTTAGAAATAATTACATATTACGTACTATTACATAATTAGACATAGGATGTAATTCATTTGTAGCAATGTGTTGTGTTATGAAATGTCATAATGTTGCTACAAAGAAATAACTCAAAATATCATTATTTTGTTAAAAAATACACTATTTTTCATCACATGACTTGTTAAAAAAGAAAAAGAAATTCCAGAGCTTTTGAAATGCAAATTATTTAAAGAAAGGACTTTCCCAATTCTACTTAATTATGGAAACGGTCCCGAAATGGGAATTTGAAGTTTCCGAGTTTTTGACACGCTCCAGAGTTTCCGTGCTTCAAGATGAAATCATTATGTGCCTCACAACAACAACCATTTTTTTTAACACCAAGGGACGTCAGAAGAGGGGGTTTGTGTGACTTGGGGTAAACTGAGATCAGAGAGAGTAAGTTGACGACCAGCTGAACCGCTTAGCAACAACCAATTTTTTTTAATATAAAATTGATACAGCTACAACAAAAGAAAATAATGCGATCATCACATTATTTTTTACAAACAATCTCACACATTCTAATTTGGATCGATCTCCAAAAAAGTCTAATACTTTCTTAGTCTAACACTAATTAATTTGATCGTTAGATCTTGGGAGATCTTAGTCTCTACATAGGAACAAAAAGTTAGATCATAAAAAATGTGAGTATTATTCTTCATTTCTTTTGGAACCTATAAAAGCTAATCGCATTTTTGCTCCTGTCTACTTTATTAACTCATATTTATGGCACTCTTTACCGAGAATACTCAACGCCTTGAAAGAGAAGCGGCACAGACCCCCACCAGCATTACTACCCAACCGTCCATTGGTTCTACTGTACCATTCTTCACACTTTTGCAGCCAACGATGATTAGTTCTCTCTGCTTAATTCCCACACTCTGATACCATGCCCTCACGTGATTTCCCTTCCTCGCCGCCGCCGCCGCCGCTGCGGCCTCATGTCGTGCACGGTCAGACCCACCGCCTTGTTCCTCTGCTCGCTGTAGGAATAGCCGCCGCCACTTCGGTGCTCTTAATTTTCACTTTCTGCTGCCGTAAATTTTCAGGCAAACGGCCAATCCCTTCCCCCGCAGATACAGTACAGTCCAAACCTCCCCACAGGTTCTCCTACGCCGCCCTCCGCCGCGCTACTTCCAACTTCGACCCCTCTCTCCGCCTTGGGCAAGGCGGATTTGGGTCCGTTTACAGAGGCGCTCTTAAAGTTTCAGGCTTTCAACCCGATGTCCCCGTCGCCGTCAAGGTCATGGATGCGGGATCCCTACAAGGAGAGCGTGAGTTCCAGAACGAGCTGTTCTTTGCCGGAAAACTCGACTCCGACCACATCGTACCCATCATCGGCTTCTCCTCCGATCAGAAGTGTTGCCGGATGGTCCTGGTGTACGATCTCATGGCCAATGGAAGCTTGCAAGACTGCCTATTGCACCGTAAGTGTAGCGAATTAAAGATTTGGAAAAATAGGTTTACAGTTGCGCTTGATATAGCTAAAGGGCTTGAGTATTTGCATCATTCTTGTGACCCCTCTGTGATCCACGGTGACATTAAACCCAGTAATATACTGTTAGATTCTAATTTCAAGGCCAAAATTGGGGATTTTGGTCTGGCTAGGTTAAAACCCCAGCAGGATCATGTTGAAATTGAGGTGAAAAAGGAGGGTTCTTTAGGGAATGTGGAGGATGATATTGAAGAAACGGAGAGTGTCACCACCACTACCAATGGGTTTGAGGAATTTCATGGAGGACTGGATTTATCTCCTGAGACACAAGTAGTTTCCCCAAGGACAGTGGCAGCAATGGCATCACCGCCCGATGGATCTTTAGGTAATTTTGACGGGTTCAGTGTGGAAAGCGGGAAAGAAACGAGTGACAAAAAGAAGAGTAGGTTAAAGAAGAGTGTTTCAAGAAACGACTGGTGGTGGAAGCAAGATACTGCGGGGGTGGATTCGGGCAGGCCGGTGAAGGATTATGTAAAGGAATGGATTGGAAATGAGATCAAAAAGGAAAAACCGACTAGCAGTGAGTTGATAAGTGGGGCTTCATCAAGCACCAAAACAGAAAAGAAAAAGAAAAACCGAAAGCGGTCAGATTGGTGGGTATCTATGGAAGATGAAAAAACAACCAAAGTGGGGAAGAGGAGACCAGCCAGAGAGTGGTGGAAGGAAGAGTATTGCGAAGAGCTCCAAAGAAAAAAGAAGAAGAAAAAGAAACAAGGGAAAAGCTGTAATGATGCTACTGGTGGTGAGATACCTAGTAGGAAGAGCAGCAGCATGGATTGGTGGTTGGATGGAATTAGTGGTGATCTATGGAGAGCCCGAAGGAACAGTTATGATTCTGTTGCTTCTGGTGAGATACCTAAGAGTGGCATGAGTAGCACGCCGAGCATGAGAGGAACGGTGTGCTATGCTGCACCAGAATACGGGGTCTGTGGGGATCACCTTTCTGAAAAGTGTGATGTTTACAGCTATGGAGTTTTACTGTTAGTACTCATTTCTGGGAGGCGACCACTTCAGGTCACCGGTTCCCCAATGTCGGAATTCCAGCGTGCAAATCTTCTGTCGTGGGCCCGTCACCTCGCCCGGGCAGGAAAGCTACTTGATTTAGTTGACCAGTCTGTGGAGTCGTTGGTTAAAGAAGAAGCTTTGTTGTGTATCAAGCTGGCTTTGGTTTGCCTGCAGAAGTCTCCTGCAAGACGTCCATCAATGAACGAAGTGGTGCGCGTGCTTTCCGGCGAGTTGGGACCACTGGAGCTACCGGTTGAACTTTCTTCATCACATGCCTCCCGGTTTGGGTTCAAGAAAGTCCGGTGAGTTTCTTTGGTTGGACGCCACATTTTTGTGATGAGAACATATATGTAAAGAACAAAAATGAGAGATGGAATATAACTAACTAATCATACAAGTAATTGAAGCGCACCGTGTATTAGATGCGCATTGACTAGATATTTTGTTGCATAGAAGTTATCTTGGATGGTAAATGACAAAGCCATGAAAGTTTTGGAATAGAGCCTTCCTATTATATTTATACTGTGAATGAATGACAAAGGTATTAAAGTTTTTAATGCTTTGCAGGTTTATGAAATAACAGCTTAGCTTGAAAAAAGAATTGTTTGTTTGTTTTGGAGGATGAGCTAATAATGATTTGGCTAATGAGTATGTGCTTCAAGTTGATTTTTTTCCTTTATTTAAACAGGATCCTCTACTCAGGGGAGGATCTACGTGTAGGCTATGGTGGGCTTAAGGCCAGGGAACTCAATTTTTTTAGTGAATTTTTTTCATTTTTCATATTTTGCCCACCCCGCTAATGTTTAAACATACGTAGTAGTATAATTGCTTCAGCCCAGAGCATCTCAATTTTCGGGATCCGTCCTTTTTTGTACATCTGCTGCTTCAATGCACCTTTACAAAAGCTGATATTGGGGTGTGTTATTGGATGATTGAAGGGGTATAGATAAAGTGTTTAGCTCTTTCAGTAAGTAATGTTTTGTGATTTAACTCTTCTCAATGTTAGGATTCATCATAAATGGAACTGCTTTGTTTCAGTGTAAATAAAAATTTCAAACTTTAGGGTCCAATCTTCTTAAGGCTAATGACCTTGATCTTGGTTTGAACTTTGAACACAACTCAAGCCTATTTCAGTATTTGTAACTTAAGTTCAATTCTTTGGACAAGTTTGAACAAGTTTCCTTGAAATGTGAAAGTGAGCCAACAACCTGAACATGACTTAAAGGCAACGGTTTGCCATGGTTTTCTCGAAAGCACGCATTTTTGTGTCTATGAAACATTAATTTATTTAAAACGACTAGTAATTTTTTTTATCATCAAAACAAGTCTCTATTCATATCAAAAAATTCAGAATCAAAGCAAAGGGAAAATAAAGCTGACATCAACTGAAACTCCAACAACTATGACTGTAACCCTATGGTGAGACTTTGAGACGGTCACTCCAGAAAGAGCAACATGAATCGCTAACCATGTAGTGGGCTTGACACAGCCAAACATTTTCCTACAGATCCAACCATACCCAATGACATAAAGAGAGACTAAAAACTCAAACAAAATGTCAAAACCAACAACAAAGATGAACACAAGAAAATAAATGACAAACAGATAAAAATTACTATGAAAACTTTAACGGATTCTAGCAGCTCGTACAACCCATGGTAATGGTTTAGGCGGAGGTCGGACCGTCGCTCGATTGATACCCTCTTTCAGTGGCGTACCCGCCGTATGATCCAAATTCATGCCATCGAATGGAGCGTTCAGCCTCTCCACGTTAACCATGTCCCGATCATCCATACGTCTCTCTCGCTTCTTCCACCATCTTCTCGCTGCCACGATCATCCATCTCGAGCTACGTCCAAACCACGGCAATCTGTCGCAGAGCTGCATCGATTGAAAGAAAAACGGCGCACAAGGACGGCGAAGTAAAAACCCTACACGAGAGATCTCGCTAGGGAAGATCGAACTTCGATCAAGAAAGATCGAAATCGGAAATTACCTAGAGGCGGCTCTGCCCTAGGAGCTCTCTGGTTACGCAACCCTATTCTCGTTGATGTAATATATTGCCATTTCAATTATTTTGATTATAATTATGCTACGCTTTCCAAATTCAACCAAATTATACACTAAAAGAATGCATAATAGATAACACTCCAATGCATCTAAATGAGATTTTGTATAGTCGATTAATAGGCAGCATCACATGTTTGGTATTGTTAGATGTTTAACTTTGTGTATTCTATTTTTTTTTTGTGGTTTTGTATGTTCTATTATTACTACGAATGTATTTCAATCTTATTCTGAAATTATTTTAGCAAACGGATTGGTATTGGTATGGCTCATGGTATTGTCCTGTTTACAAGCGGAAAGGAATTGATTTTTTTTTTTTTTTTTTAATTTCTAATCCCAACTGTACTAAATGGTTTAAATAGTCACACTGGAGTGTTAGACTCGGCAAAACATCAGACCGCCCCAAGCCTGCAAGCCCCAAGCGATGCCCACCTCTAGAATTTGGAGAAAAGAGTAGTAAAAACTAAATGAGTTTTATTTGAATATAAAATGCATTAGAAATATATCAAGCACATCTTTTTTATAAATCAAGCACATTTTTTTTCATTTACATTAGAATTAAACATAAAAACTAGAAAACTCAACATACAATTTATTTACTCTTTCGAGGCATAAAAATGGAAAGTATGCATGTACGTAGTATAGGAAAAGATCCTGTTGAGTCGTCCATACAGAATCGTTCGTCCGGACTTTGCCGTTTGAGGTAGTTTTGAATATTTTGATGAAATTTTGTAAAAAATTTCTTCATGAAGTGTAGTTTATGTCAATGAAATTTCACTTTAAAATTCAATCAGAAAAGCAGCTAAATAAATTAATGAAAAACATTGTGTTATATATATTGGTGTAGTGTTTTTCAATAATTTATTTAAATGCTTTTTCAATTGTATTTTAAGATGAGATTTTATGAAAATTATCTACATTTCATGAAGAATATGCTCATACTGGGAACCAAGTCAAAATTGTGGCGGCTGGACGGAAGGCCATATCCTCTGCCTATGTAGTACTTCGTATATACTAGTAGTTGATTTTTACTTTGAGGTCTGCTGAAGCATAAACCCAGGATAGTTAAATACGGATGGAGTCAATTTATGCAAACTCTGAGCCAATATTGGCCTATTTGAAATGTCGGACTTATAGACCCAATCCTAATTCTAAGTCGAGGGCCCGAGCTCATGCTGAGACCCAATTTTAAAAATGACCCAATATTTGGAAACAAAATTGTCCATTCTCTATTGTCTTTTGGTTTTGAACAATTAAATCACTTCTTTTGGATTCACAGAGGTCGTATGATAAGTTCTATTTTTGTTTTGTCATGTTTATCAGTCAATTTTTTTTACTAAATATGCAACTTTTGATTTCACAAGTTAAATTATGTACTAATCAATATATATATATATAAAAGAGGAACTTTTTAAGAGCATACAATGCGCCACATAACATTGTCATGTCATCATATATAATTACTATTTAATTATTGTTGATATGGAAATCCAACTTATTAATTGTTGATATGGAAATTGATAGCCGTTATATTTACTTATGTTTAACATAAGTATTTATAAGTATTTGTTGAAGAAAGGAAGAAAAATCAGGCAAATACCTCCAAAATGAGAGCTAGAGCATAAAACATTGCGATGAACGACTTTTTAGACCAAGAGAATGACGTTCTGCCCATAATTTGAGTATAACGTATTCTATAGAACTCGAAATCACTCAATTCGAGTTTCATGTGAATGCTAACTCAATAAGGTACAAATGTTATGAAGACGTCATGGCCAAAATATGAAAGGAACAAGACTCAATCAACCAACAAAGTCAGATATTGCTGGTGGGATTTCAGGATGCATACCTCTCAGTGTTTTAGCCATAACGTTTGATTGGATGAATAAAATCACGTCATTCAAGTTTTGGTGGATAGACGACTTCATTATCTACAACTTTGGTGAAGGACTCATGTCCAAATTCGTAGCGGAACATCCCCAAAATCCCAGGACAAAACCGGCGCCGGAATTTCACCAAACCAGCGCCGGTTGCATTTAATCTGCCATTTTCCCGGTTGGCCGACATATAACCGGCGCCGGTTTTACCCTATAACCGGCGCCGGTTATGGTGTTTTTCAGTATTATTTCAGCCCCGAAGTAAAACCGGCGCCGGTCAAGCCTAAAACCGGCGCCGGTTAAGCCCGAATCTGTAGAATACAAAGAGACGTGCAGCCATATCTTGATGGGAAAAACTCACCTTCCTCATGATCTGATCAAATATATCTTCCATGCCTGATTGTTGGGCTCGAATAGACTAAAAGATGCCAATCTTTAGCCTATATAAAGCCCCCAATTCATCAAACAAGATCATCATTCCACTCTTGAAGATTAAATTTCAGTTTTTATATTTCCTTTTTGTATTTTCTTGAAGTGTTGGAGAAGTAGCCATTTCTCTCCTCTACAATTGGTTCTAGGTATTATTTCTTGTATGTTATTGTACTTCATTGTTCTTAGTTACACTTTTGTAATTAATATGAGCATTAGAGGCTAAGTTCTTAGCTAAGGCTAGGGATGAACTTCTATGCCCACTAGGTGTTTGATAAAAGTTCTAAACCAATAAATTGTGATTTATCCTTTACATTTTGATTGTTTATGACTATGGTGTACAACATAGAAGTATGTTAAACTTAGTTTATGCTTGCAATTAACGTTGAGGTCTAAACTATGAACATTAAAGGATAAACATATATATTATCGAGAATAGAAATATATCCGGTATTATATGATACGGGTGTGATGTCTTGACATTCAACGGGGTTTTCGGTAGATGAATGTAAGCCGTAACGGGACTTACACGTAACGAAAACCACGCTCTCGCTGCCTTAACCGGAGTTGAGAATATATTAGCGACATCATATTCATAATTATTGGTAAAGAACTAATATTCAACCCTATTAAAGCATTTAAGTGATTCCCGAAGCCTTAGTTGTTGTTATCAATCACTTTAATCAAATTAATTCAAGTTATATCTCTGAAAATTAAAAAGAAGAACCAAGTTGTTGTTTTCACAACAACACACAACTCAAAATCCCTGCACTTTACTCATTTACTTATTCAAAGTCATCTACTTGCGGACTAAATTAAACAACGTTTCCCTGTGGATTCGACCCGGTATTTTACCGGAATTTATTACTATATCGGCACTTGTACACTTGCAAGTTCAAACCGGTCAGAAATCCATCTTATTTGGTATGTTAATAAATCTTCCGATACATACATATTTAACTTAGATTAGAACTAATCTATAAGTTGGAATGCTACGTAACACAACTTTTTAAAATACTTCTTAAAATCATGCAATTCAAATAATAAAATCCTATGTTTATTTTAAACTAAAACAATGTTTTTATTTGTACTCTGATTGTTACAAAATATATATTAAATTTCATAATTTTTTATTATCTTTCATATGACACCAATATTGAATATATAAAAAATAAAGATAAAAATTAACACTTTAAAAAACACATGTATTTTAAAGTGATATATCTGCTTTATTTGTACTCTGATAGTTACAAAAAATATATAAAAATTTATAACTTTTTATAATCAATATATATATATATATTACTAATAATATATTTTTATATATTTTTTGTAACTATCAGAGTACAAATAAAGCAGATATATATATATATATATATATATATATATATATATATATATATATATATAAGAGGAACTTTTTAAGAGAATACAATGTGCCACATAACCTTGCCATGTCATCATATATAACAATTATTTAATTATTTTTAACTTTTTATTGTTATATTACAGTTGATATGGAAATCCACCTTATTTGGTAACTTTAGCAACATCCAAACCTACGT